AAAATTTTTGCTTTCTTTATTACCTCTCTTCCCATTTTCATGTCTTGAACAGTTTTATTCATTTGTTTTTCCTGTTTGTTTTTGTTTTTCTGGCTTTCTTTGAGGGTTTTGTTAATTTCCTCTTTAAGGACCTCTATTATCTTCATAAAGTTGAGTTTGAGGTCATTTTTGTGCTACAGCTGTGTTGGAATATTTATGACTTGCTATAGTGGGATAGCTGGGCTTCATATTGCCCTGGATGTTGTTGATTTTGTTCTTACAATGACACCTGGGAATCTGGGTTTGTGATGATTATAGGTCTAGGTGTCAATTTTTGACTTTGTTTTCATTGGATGTGTGTTTTTCCCTAGTTTCTGTTTTCTTTTGGGTTTTCTGGTCTTTGTGGCCTAGCTTTCTGGTGGCTAGTATGACCTCTAGTCCAGAAGGGAGTCTCTATCCAAGTTCGGAGCTGGACTTCCAGCAGTAGGTTGGCCTTCTGTTCAGTGTGTAAATGGGGTGTGCTTGTAAAGGGTCACTGCCTGAGTTGGGAGATAGGACACAGTGATGAGGAGAAGAATAGGGATTGGGGACAAAGTGAGGGGGCACTAAGAGAGAGGAGGAGGACCCTAGGTGGACAACCTATCGGGATTCTGGCAGCTGATGTGGGCTTTGGTTCAGCAGGGAGTCTCTGCTGAGTTTGGCTACCTGTTTCTTACTGGCATGGCCAGCACATGTTCTTCAACTGGTATAGGCTGTACCTGCAATAGTTTTATGTTTTGTTTTTTTCTTAAACTTATTTTTGTTTTCTTGCTGTTGAGTTGTGTCTGTCCCTTACATGTTTTGTATGTTGCTTTTTTCACCAGATGCAATGTTCCTGAATGTTTTCTGACATTTATTAAAAACCATAGTGTGTGTGTGAGTATATTTGTGTCTGTGTGTGTCTGTGTCTGTGTGTGTATAGCCAAACCCATGCTACAACACCCTGTGACAGTCAGGTTCAGAACTTCAACTTCCTCCTTGTTTGTGGCAGGGTCTCTTGTTTACTGCTGCACATGCCAGACCTCCTGAACCCTGAGAGCTTCTAGGGGTTTCTCTGTTATAGCCTCCCTCTGGTTATAGAGTGACAGGGTTACAGGCGTCTGATACTGCATCTGGCTCTTAGGTCCTGATGCTTATGAGCCATCTCCTCAGCCTTTTTGGCCATTCTTTAATTTCTCTCTTCATTCCACTGTTTCCTTTGCTGGGTATACCGGTTTAACCCTGACATTTGACTTTTTTCTCTTCCTTTTGTTTTCAGTGTTGTGGGGTCAATCTTTTTTACAAGACCAATTTTAGAAAGCTGTTTTTGGAGAGCCTAATAGGGTATACCTACTCAGGAGGCTGATACAAGAGGACTGATGTGAACTGAAGGCCATCCTGTCCTACACAGTGAATGTAAGCAAACCTAGGTCACAGAGGAAGAGAGTCTATTTTAAAAAAGATATGAATACTTTTGTCCTATGAGTTTCTGGCATTTAATCCATTTACCCACTGTGAGGTTTTCCAGGAACCTTGTATACATATAGATGAGAAAAGGCTGCAACTGCATTATTCTGTGTGTGGATAGCTCATTTTCTCAGCATCATTCATTGAAAAGACTGCCTTTTCCTCACTGTGTGTTCCTGGTACTTTGTTGAAAAGTTCAGGTTTTCCTGATTGTGCAGAAATTTTTCCCCATTCCTTTCATCCACATGCCGTATTTCTTCAATAATAATGATGAAACCATCATCATATCCCTTGGAATTTGAGATTTTTTTCCCATCTAACTTTCTTTCTCACTGCTATGCACATGGTTTCTATAGCATCACTCCAAATTCTTCCTCTATGAGTTTGAAAGACATAATTGTGATTGTGCATAAATTAAGAGCAAATGGTCCCTTAGGTAAGGCCTGAAGTGATCGTTAAGAAACACTGACAGCGTGCTTTGATGTGTCTGCTTTCTCTACCTGATGGCCATTTGCTTCCATCTGATTCCATATTCTCATTATTTTCTGGCTAGGTGAAATGATCAGAAACCCACGTTATTGGTTAAGAAAGACTATTGCAATGATCTCATAACTGTATGTTATTTCTAAGTGAGGTTAAAACTTAAAAGTATGTCATCTATAATATTCTGTTAACATTGTAGTTTTATATTGTCACTCTCTGGTATGTACCCAGCACATAATAAAATTCTTAACTTTGTGTTTGAGTTCATTTATTTCAGTCTCATTACTTAAAAAATTAAAGGAATGTTAAATTACAGATAATAAGAATATTTGAGAAATCTTCTAATATATGATTCCAAATAGTAGTTTCTAGTAAATAAGCATATTTCTTTTGAAGACAAAACATTTAATTCAAATATCTACTTCCTCTAAAATGCTTCACAAAAGAGGACTCAAGACAAAACTAATAATGAAAAATTGCACTTCAAATGGATTTTATCTTTGGTTCAGTCTCTAATAGTTCAAATTAAGCAAAGACTAAATTGCAAATGTTGATTTTGGTCCTGGCTGCATTTCCAGGGTCTTTGAAATGTTTAGAAAACAGTCTGCACATTTCATTTCCTTTTTGTTTGGACAGCACATTGCGGCCAGTTTCTCTTTGATTCAGACATCTGGAATCACTAACCACACAGCTGGGAAGAGCTGGCAGTGATATTTTGTTTTCTTGACTAAGAATCGGAACCTTGACCTCAACAGAGGGTAATTATCTGGGCAAGCTAATGATGAGAATTGAAAAGGCAGGGGCTCAAGCACCAGAGCCTGTGAGATGTGGAGCTGGTTTGGGCTCTGTGACACTGAGTTCTACAAGATGCTCTTGTGGGTCTCACACTGTTTGCCAAACCTCCTGGGTCCCTGTCTGCTCACACATGGCCTACTACTGTTGAGAGAGATGACCCCAGGCTACTCTCTTTCCAGCATTTCACCCCACTGCACATACAGGACACTCAAATCAACAGAAAAAAAATGAAGAAAGAGACACTATGTGCCTGGAGAGAATGGAAGGAAGGAGAGATTAAAAAACAAGGGTGAAAAAGAAGTCTAAAAAATGAGGAAAGTAAAATGATGGAAAAATTGTTTTAATATCACAAAGCTTGCTATAAAAGAAAATAACGTTATGATAAATATAGGCTCAATGATCTTTCCTACTCATTTATGCCACACAGGAGAGTAAATGGGTACCAAGACGTAAGCATAAAAATGAACAAAGTGGCTCTCTGCTCCTCCTGTTCCTGAGACAGCTGCATCTTTTCATGCAGTGCCAACATCATCCCTTAGACATGACGGTGAAAGTCGGAGTGAACGGATATGGCTGTATTGGATGCCTGGTTACCAGGGCTACCCTCATCTCTGACAAGGTGAAGATTGTTGCCATCAATGACCCCTTCATTGACCTCAGTTACATGGTCTACATGTTCCAGTATGACCCTACCATGGCAAGTTCAACAGCACAGTCAAGGCTGAGAACAGAAAGCTTGTCATCAATGGCAAGGTCATCACCATCTTCCAGGAGCGAGATCCCGCTAACATCAAATGGGGCGATGCTGGTGCCAAGTATGTTGTGGAGTCTTCTGGTGTCTTCACCACCATGGAGAAGGCTGGGTCCCGCTTGAAGGGTGAGACCAAAAGGGTTATCATCTCTGCCCCTTCTGCTGATGCCCCATGATTGTGATGGGTGTGAACCATGAGAAGTATGACAACTCGCTCAAGATTGTCAGCAATGCTTCCTGCACCACCAACTGCTTAGCCCCCCTGGCCAAATTCATCCATGACAACTTTGGCACAGTGAAAGACTCATGACCACAGTCCATGCCATCACTGCTATTCAGAAGACTGTGGATAGTTCCTTTGGAAAACTGTGGTATGATGGCCATGGGGCTGCCCAGAATATCATCCCTGCATCCACTGGTGCTGCCAAGGCTGTGGGCAAGGTCATCCCAGAGCTGAATGAGAAGCTCACTAGCATGGCCTTCCATGTTCCTACCCCCAACATGTGCCGTGGATCTGACGTGCCAATTGCAGAAACCTGTCAAGTATGATGACATCAAGGATGTGGTGAAGCAGGCATCCAAGGGCCCACTAAAGGGCATCCTGAGCTACACTGAGGACCAGGTTGTCTCCTGGGACTTCAACAGTGACTCCCACTCTTCAACCTTTGATGCTGGGGCTGGCATTGTCCTCAGGGACAACTTTGTAGAGCTCATTTCCTGGTATGACAATGAATTTGGCTACAGCAACAGGGTGGTGGACCTCATGGCTTACATGGCCTCCAACGACTAAGAAGTCCTGGATCAGCCACCCCAGCAAGGACAGGAGAGCAAGAGAGAGGCCCTCGGCTGCTGAGGAGTCCCTGTACCAACTCAGCCTCTGACTAAGCATCTCCCTCACAGCAGCCATCCCAGAACCCCAGAATAGCGGGAGGGGCCCAGGGAGCCCTACTCTCTCAAATACCATCAATAAAGCTCACTGCACCCCCCCAAAAAAAATACTCACCAAACATCCACTGCATTTATATATCTATATATCTATACATATATAGATTATCCATTGTGTGTATATATATATATACATATATGTTTCCAGTAAAATTCTTTAATGTGCAACCACATTGTCGTCTTTTTACTATATGTCACTATCAATCACAATGAAAATTTATAATGAGAAGTTAATAATAATACATAACTGAGATGTAAAATTGCTATTAGAGTCAGTGATGTAATCAAGAAACCATATACCATATACCATTGTTTGCAACCATGCATTTAAAAAATGAAGTCACTTGAAGCAGACAACATGAAGACCCCTCTTTGAACTGTACAGACTTTGTTTCTTCACTTTGTACTCCTCTTTAGAAACTGACTTGCCAGATCAAGGGGTAGTTTACTGTAAATATATTTGTGAGTCAAATATTTATTCTTTGAAGATACCCTAATTTTCAACTTGAAATTGTTCTGGCATGTACACAGGATTTGCAGCATGGCCAATAACATTTTTATTTGTTGTTCACAGTCAGATATAACGGATCACAAAATAAGAGAATAATGATGTGTTGCTCCAAATGTATTCTGAAGGCTAGTTTTAAGGAGAAGCCACTAAGCTCTGTAGTCCTCTTCTGGTTCTCATGATTAAATGTTTATGGCTCCTGACAGCTTGACAGGTTTGCCTAGGCAAAAAGATTTGGGCTCCAGAAAACCAAAAAGTCAAGACCCAAAAACTAAACAACTTTATATTCATTTCAGCAATCTCAGTGGGAACTCACCAGCGGCTCAGCTTATTCTCAGGAATTATCAGCACCTCAATTATTGTGGAATAGGGAAGTCTCCCCAAGAACGTCATCTCTAGTCTAAAATCAGCCTCATTTGTCTTTAGAGGAGACCGTCTTCCTTCACCTTTGTTACAAAGATCCCACCATAGATAACCACTCAGACACAGTTAATAGCCAATTGAGTCTCTTGACCTTCAGATTCAGATCGTGTACTTGGCTTAATCAAGAAAATATTTATTCTGAACACACATTCTTCACACATTCTGTTGGTCTGTTTTCACTCCTCTATTTGGAAAAAAAATGCCAAAGAACTGCAGACAATTGGATTATTTACCCATTTCCCCGCAGGAGAATGTTGAAAATTTTATCCGAGCCTCAGTTCCCTTGTCTGTGAAATGATGAGATAATGCTTACCTTGCTGGATTGCTGGGAAATGTTTAAGGAACATCCTTGGCCAAGATCCTGGGAGATTCCTTCCTTTGCTATGTCTTGTGGTAATTAGTTGGCTCATCGAGCAAAATCTTCAGACTCCCAGAGAAGTCCACAGGAATTTCATGCACACCCTTTCTGCTGTTGGTGGTGTTAACTATTGTTCACAAATTTCCTGTACTAGATTCTCACCCATCTTCTTGTTGGGAAACTTCTCTACAGGAAGTCAAATCTGTGAGGAGGAAAATAGGACACACAGCTTTTCCAGCCCTGAGATGAGTACTTATCTTTTTTGAGTAAAAGTATGAAACACCAGTATTTACATTTATATTGACAAAAACAAGATAGAAGTATTTTGATATAATATCTGTAATACATGATATTGTCTAGTGGTAAGAAACATTTCTGTTCTCTCAGGACAGGTAGGAATGGCATTCTTCATATATTTTTGTGTGGGTTACTTGGCTCAGCTATGTTACAACATTTCCAATTTTTAGGTCCAAAAGAGCCCAGAGTCCACTCTTTCTAAGTATTCAGATTACTAATAAATACTTGTCTTGTAACTGAGTTTTCTTAATTTCTGAATCTGGACTTTCTCCTTCTTTTATTACCTTCATAAACAAGGTTAGGGAAGGTGGTTTTATTATATTTGCTCTAAATGAACACTACGATGACTGAAGTCTGCACTGCTCACTTTCTTTCACAACCTATGGTAACACGCTCTGTGATCATCAGCATCAAATAAACTTCAAATCAAAATGCAATATGCTACTTCTGAGGATGCTATCTTCCTTCCTGGGAAAGCACAATAAATTTTGAGCTGCCTGTTTTATAGCCTCTAATGGGCACTTAGAGATTTAGTTGGTTTAATTAAAGCAGCATACGTGTAATTGCTAACCCCCCGTGCTAGACTTGTGTTGCTTTCCGTGTTCACTGTGGGGGCTGAGGTGGCAGCCATTGTCTCTTGAAGCAGTTCAATGCTTTAATTTATTTTTAAAATATTTGTCGTGGTTGCTTGCTTATCTGATGGGGTTTTTTTGTTTGTTTGTTTGTTTGTTTGTTTGTTTCAATGTGTCTTACAAAGGTCACAATATAAAATTCCGGGGCTGCTGGGTTGATCCAACAAAACAAGCGAGCTGCCTGGTTGCATATCCACAGAGGCTGTGCTCCCAGACCACAGCGTCAGCATCACAACCAGAAGAAGAAAGTACAGGAGCTGGCAGTTCTGCAAGCAACACCTTGGCATTAGGATTCTCCCAGCCAAGCCTTGGCAAAGTTACAGTGGTGGATGAAAGTTCATGCCCCAAACTTGAAGGTGCATAGTTTCAGCCTTTCTTATTCCTTCCCAAGCTATTGCTAAGTGGTCCTGTATGAACTTGACAGGTAAAAGCCATGAGTCATATTTTAAACTTTTTGCTGCTCTGTTCTCTTGCACAACTCATCATGGCTAAGGCATTCATTCATGTCCTTCACTTCTTTGACTAAATGTAGCTTGCTGGATGGCCCACCTGCTTCTATCTCCGGGCATCAAAGAGAAAGGACTTTGTGATATCTGGCAAAAGTACTCCGCTGGGAAGCTTTTATGACTCTCTAGCTCTGGGGTGGAGCTAAGTCCTTCCTGGGAGAAATGAACAGGGCTGCCCCGGTTTATTTCACTTGGATGTCTTGAGCAATTGGGTTATTGTGCAATTATGGAAGAGCCATTACATTCCTGCAGACACTTGAGGACAGACCGGCATTATCTTTTTGCTTTCCTTGCTTCACATTTCTTGGTCTCCAAAGAACTCAAAGTACAGAGTCCTTGATTCTTAGTGCCACAGTGCAAACAGCTATGGTCTTGAAGTACTACAAAAGAACTTTTAATGTTTTAACCTCTCAAAATATCAACAAATATTATCAACTATTTTGCCACAGGACCCAAAACATTTTTAGGTAAAATTAGATATTTCTGAACATATCCTTTTGCCCTTTTTTTTTCATATTATTTATCTAGCATTGGTTTGGGAAGTACATGGGGAAAAAAAAGCACTATCTACACCCATTTAAATGACATAACACATGCAAAGACAAGCAGAGGACAGGAACTGCCTCTTCTTCCTTTTTCCCCAGTAAGTGTGATGAGTCGATGCAATGCTGCTGTCAGGGTGTGCGTATGTGTGGAAAAGCACATCACTGGATACAGTAACATGGAATTTTAATGTGTTATGCTAGTGACTTTCATCCCACTGGAATACAATAATACAGACTGACATAGCTCTCAAATTTAGATATAAGATTGATTCTATATTTTTTAAAAGCTTGAAAAGCAAAAGCAATTTAGTAGTCCAAAAACACTTACACCTGTTTAAAGAAAACCATGTTGCTGCTCAAAAACCTAAGCCAGTTGTTAAAGGGCTTGCCACTCAAGCAGGAAACATGAATTTGATCTTCAGAACCAAGGTAAAATGTAGGACCTGGGTCTGTGGTGATAGACAAGTGGGTAAACCTCCTGCCACATAAAATGAGGACCCTGAGACCAAATCCCTGCAAAACACAGGAACCTGGGTGCACTATTGAGTATCTATAATCTTAGTGCTCCTACAGCAATATGGAACACAGGTATAAGAGAGTTCATCAACTATCTAGCCTGGCTGCAAACCTCCATCACAATTCCCCACCTATACACACCTGTATTAAACACACATACAAAAACACAATGTGTTGGCTTTCTGGGAAGGAAAGACATTTTAATCCCTGGGCAAATAGCTCACCAGACAGCCAGCCTAACATAATTATTGAGTATCATACCAAAGGAGAGACCCTGCCTGAAAATGCAAGGTTGATAGTTCCCAGGGAGCATCACCCGAGATTGACTTCTAGCCTTCACATGCATCTGTACACACATGTGCACACATACATATGGTCCTACCCACAAACACACATGCACTGTACATACAAACATATATATGTTTGTATACATAAACACACACACAAAAGCCAAATCGCTATATTAACCTAGAAAACAGTCACAGATTAGTTTTAGATTAAAAGATCCAAATTACATAAAGAAAGCATTTGTGAAAAATACAAAGACATGTACTCACACTGAAAATACGGGATTCCTAAAAAAGAGGCATAGTAAAAATATTAACAGTATTGGGATTTTGGATTTTCTAAAATTAATTTCACATCTGTATTGAATTTTATGTTTCCTACACTGAATGTCTGTTATCTTAAAGGAAAGCAACAATTACTTTAAAGAAAGGGAATCAACAGAGTAGAAGCAATCAGTCCAACTGTCCTGATGAGAGCCTGACATCAAAACACCTGGCTGATTGAATCGCCCAGTTTCAAGCTAGCTGTTCGGATTGGAGAAGCAAAACGCCTGCATTTGTTCACTTAAGAGCATGTTTTCCATGTAGGTCAAAGAGAGGACATTTTCAGGAGACCAGCTACCTGATTCTCTGGGCCCAGAACGAGCTGAGAGGCCTCTGCCTTCAAGTGAACTGTGAGCAAGGCTGGTTGCTGTTTGAGGCGGTGGCCTTCCATTTGCTGTGTGTAGTGACGATTTTCAGGCAGATGTCCAAGGAATCCAGATGTTAAAGACCATGTACAGACAGATACAGAGCGATTCATGGCCTTGTAACAGAGGAGACACAACAAAATAATAAGCAAAGCCAAATGGCTGCAGAAAAAAAAAAAAAAAAAAAAAAGCTCTCTGAAAGGTAAGCTCGGAGTGTTTGTTTACCGTAGAAGGTCACGGCTGGGAGCCCTGTGCCAGTCAGTCAGCTTTTCTAGTTTACCCAATCTTACTTGTACTAAACTAAATATAAAAATTGCTGACCTGTTAGCCAAAAGAAAACAAACCTTGAAATTTCACCATGTAGCAGTTACTACCCTACAGTGGGCCTAATTTTTGAGATCATTTTTCCTTTTGAGAAAAGTAGCAACCAAATGGTAACCCAAGAAGGCATTGGCCTTCTTTCTTTTTCTTTCCTTTTCTTTTCTTTTCTTTTCTTTTCTTTTCTTCTTTTCTTTTCTCTTCTGGCTTTATTTTTCTCACTTTCAGTGACCAGTTTTACTTGGATTTAGCCAGTGAATATGCACATTCTGCACAACCGTACCATCTTTTTTTTTTTTTTAATCAAGAAATGTGGAATAGATTCAAGGTAAAATGAGAAATTCTAGGACTCTTTGTTGAAATGTCACAGCTTAATAATCTATCAATCTGTACTTAGTCATATTTGCTGGGTATTTCACTCTCTGTGTGTCTGTCTATCTGTCTCTCTGTGTGTGTGTGTGTTTAAAGAAAAACAAATTGTAGGGTCTAGAGAAATAACTTGGTGAGGAAAGGCATGCAGCCTGATGTACTAAGTGAGCTGAGTTCTTCGAGTTGGCCGATACGTCCGCACACACTGTGGCATGTGTGACCCATCACAAACACATAGGGGAATAGAAAAATAAATACCACAACATAAATAGAGGACAGAACCATAAAGACTAAACTGATAGATTCCAGGCCCACACTGCTGCCTTCTCCTATAGGCCTGGAAGTACACAAACAGACAATTCATGGCTACACAGTGTAAAACCCCGGTTCTGTAGGTTTAGCTTAACTTTAACAGGTCAGGGTAGAATAATGCTTTTAAGTTTTAAATGCAGATTTAAAATTTTAAATGCAAAGGTGTTTTGTTGTTGTTGTTGTTGTTAAATCTTTGAGAATTCCACCTTCCCAGATCCACCCTCCATCTTTTTACCCACTCCCAATGTCATGTCCTTAAAACATAAAGACAAAAGAAAAGAAAACCCACCGAGTCTACCTGATACTGCCCATGCGCCCTTGGATGCAGGCTCACCCACTGGATCATGGCCCATCTACCATAGGCCACACCCTTAAAGAAAACAGACTTCCCATCCTCCAAGAAGTCAGCTGCGGAATAATGTTTGTAAAGCAAGGCATTTGGAATGAATGTCTCAAGGGGCTAGCTGTCAGATTGGTGCTATTGCATCATTAAAGGAGTCTGACAGAAGTAAATAATATTGAGAGAGTTGTTTTTTTTTTTTTTTTAAGTGCACATCTCATCAAGCAAATGATATGGCTATGTCATGCCACACCAACCTGTTATATCAATTTTCCCTGTTGCAGTCCAAGTCTCCTTTGATGGCTAGTACTTGGCAACTTCTAGGACAGTGTGCAGTGTGCTGATGTGTTATGTCTTTATATATATGGTCTTTATAGTAGACTATAAGCCCCATGAAGTCACAGCTTTCCTGAAGTTTCCTCACCAAACCCATTCACCTGGACTCAAGTCTAGCCTGCAGCAGGTACTCATGAAGTCCTCTGTGAATATTCAAAGCTTTATGTATACCATATGCAAAGATATTGCAGATGCTCTTGTAAATATAAAGCCTTCCACTTCAATGCATAGGCAGGCTAATCCTGGCGTTGTAATGTTTTGTCCCTTCTGCACTGCTGTTGAATTTCCAGGCTCAGAGCAACACTCATGCTTACATTGTGGCTCACCTTCCTCTCATGGCCTGGGTGCACCTAGTTAAATTTAGGGAAATCTTTCTTTCCTTGAGGCAACCAGGAGACAACTTTCTGTGTTGGTGGGGGTTGACTTGTATTTATGAGACATAAGAGATCATTTTGTGTTTTGCTTTTATTCTATGTCAAAGATAAAGAGCAAATAGAACCTGTGGGCTCTTTCTTTCATTTTCTATGCCTCTCCTGATTTCAACAAGGAAAGCAGGCTTCTTGCTCGCCCTTCACCTTCTCCTGTGCTGCCTCATAAAGCTAATCTGCTGGCAAACAGCCTTTTCCCAAGGTGCTCTCAAAGTTCAAGCTCGTAGTGAGCCTGCGCGAGCTGTTGCCTGGGCATGGGGAGTAGAGGGGCACATTTGACAAGAAGAAAGATGGAAAACTACATAAAAGAGATGCCAGTGGCCTAAATTCTGTGTCTACCACACAGCTGTAATCTTTACTAGGAGCTGGTGGGCAGCTGTGGGCTAGAGTGAAGAATGAACTATCAGAGCTTTCACATTAAGACAATCACGGTTACTTTATTGAGAATAACAGAAGGGAGAAAGTATAATCGGTGAAATTTGAATGGTAGGAAACTCTGCGGTCTCGGGGGTTTAGGATGGAATAACTATTGCCCAGTGTTGTGCTCTAAGTTAATTAAATAAATCCTAGTCTCTGTGTGGTGATTTGGGTATACAGCTGATTTAGGAATAACCACTGCTTAACTAAAAAAATAAATCAATAATAAATATTAATAACCCATAACAATTGAGATTGATAAAATACTGGGCTTCATTATGACATATAACTAATAAGTTATTTTTTAACTAACACAAAGCACAGAAAATTATATATATTTATGGAAATACTATGTACTCTCCTGATAGAAGTATATATTATATAATATTGTGATCAGGTTTAAATATCTCTCAACATTTATTAATTTTCATATTTCTTCAACTTTCAAAATGTGGCTGGGTATGGTGGCACACACCTTTGATTAGGACTTGGGAAGTGGAACAGCCTGACCTCTATGAGTTTAAGGCCAGCCTGATCTACATAGTGAGCTCCAGGCAGGCCAGAAGTACCAGTTCTCAAAGAAGAACAACACTTTCATAACCTTTCTCCTAGCTTTCTCAAAGACGTACGTATTTATTTATTTTGTGCATACCCATGCATAGAGTTGTATGTTCGCCATGTGCATTTGGGTACCCTTGAGAGCCAAAGGGGGAATCAGATCCCCTAATTACAGTTACAGGCTGTTGTGAGCAGCCCAATCTGGGTGCTGGGAACTGAACGCAAGTCCTCTGTAAGAACAGCCATGGCTTTTACTATCAAACCTTTCTCCAGCCCTTCGTCTAGCTTTTTGATGTCCACCATTCTTGTTTATTCCTGTTTTGATCAGGAAATAATAATTAAATATGTGAGTTACACACCATGATTCTTGATTACCAAATAATTACATTCGTGGGTATACAGCATGATGCCTTGATCCTGTATACATTGTAGAGTGATTAACAAGCCAATCAACACCTCCTGTTACCTTCCTTTTTACCTGTGATATTTTTAATGTTGCAGCATTTAAAATTTACTTAGTTATTATGAAATGTACAATGTATTATTCATTATCATAGTTCCATTAAGTAAAGAATTAGGACGGGAACATTTTGGCTTCTTTCTCTCTTGCCTGAGTCACCATGGCATATTGTAGCACGGGTTTGAGTCCCATGCAGTCTGTATGTGTAGACACAGAAGAATGAACAATATTTGGCCTACACAGACATGGATCAGAAACATGATCCTTAGCTGCCGCCCAAATAAGTCGGGGTAAATACAGGTCAGGGTACACAGGAAGTCACACTGCCCTTTTACTCTTTGCCAGCCTCAGATGGAATTCCCGACTTTTCTTTGCCTTTGTTGTTGAAACAGTATTAAGTGCCTATAAATTGGACTTAGAGAGTATGGCCAATTTTACAGAGAGTTCAAATATCCAAGCAAGCCCTTTTTCCCTCTTGGACTTTTGTGACAACTCCCCAAAAGTCACTTTTAACATGTCCACCGTGATAGTGTTCTTTAATTGAAAATTAATTAAAAGTTTTTGAATTTGCTCACTTCCCCACAAGGGATCAGTTTGCCTTCTGGACACACAACTGTATGTTCTAACAATCTTCCATGGGGTGAAAAAAAAAAACACTGTATATGACTCAGACGAAAATCAGATGGGGGGTAACCACCCCTGAATAATAATTTTCAGGTCTTTCTTTACCCAAGGCTCACGTTCCTTATCAGGAACGCAGTCATGTGGGTGGGAACATGCCAATTATAAGGCAATTGGTTTGTTTTTCTAGCAGACTGGCTTTATTAGGAGGCCCCTAATGTGTTACACGTTTTGTTACAAAGTGTGACAATTTATGCTACATTCTGGGGGTTTCAGAAAAGGGAAAGATCTTGCAAATTATTATCTGTGACAGAATTATAATTTTACAAATGATTAATCTCAATCATCCGTCTCTTTTCTCTCTTGGGTTAAGCGAGAAAATTATATCCTACAAAATTAGCTGTCAAAATGTGAGCCTGTGGTTTGGAGTATTTGAACATGAGGAAAACGGAGAGAAGATCTTTATTAATGAGCTCGCTTAAATAAATAAAAACGTTCCTGCAGGAAATGCAAGATGCACTGCTCTGCTGTACCAATGGCCTCACGAGCTCTGAGTAGTCAGAAAAGGTTTACCAAGTTGGGTCAGGACACTATGTCTATCATCTGTTTCTGGGCATTCCCTCCCACCTAAACATGAAGTCTCTCCCTTTGCCCCATGTGGAATAGTATAAGCAACAATGTGACATTTAGTGTCTAGAATTACAAGCGCTGACAATGGAATTTGTGGAACATATTTGAAAATGGACAAAAATGGACACACATCCTTGGACAAGTGTTTAAGTCAGTGGGCAGTGGTTTGGAGAAGGGACGAGAACTTAAATAGAACATTCCAAGAATCATGTAACAAACCAAGCGGTCTTGAACCCAGCCACTTTCTCGGCTAGCATTGCTCTGCAGCCTTAATACAAGGAACTCTGGGGCACCTCGTGCTGGCAGCGGGTATGTCTCCAACTCTGTCTTGTAA